CCAGCCAGCACGTGGACCAGCTGGGTGCGGTTGAACCAACCCAGGTCTGGCTCTGCAGCTTCTTTTCTTTACATTACTCTACACTGACTCTCAGAGGAAAACAAGGAAAGCAGACCCCCTCATATTAGGAGAGCTGCCATGAGAGCAATGATCTACCCTTACCTCCCACCCCCTGCCCCAGGGTGGTGTCAAAAGGCCTAGCCATGCCCACACATGAACCATGGGAGTCCACAGAGACCCAAGAGGGGCTGGCCAAAGTGCAAACAGCTCCCACATCATATTGAGTCAGGAAAATAAATTATCACATAGGATCAGTTAATCAAAGACAAACTAAAATAGGAAAAGCAGTTTTATAAAATAAACACAGAAAAATTCACTGACCTGGGCTAAATTAACTGACCCAGTAAAATAACTTAGAAGTTCACAAACTGAAATCCAGTCTCAAATGGGTGTACATTGGTGTGGGGGGAGGAGAGAGGGCTAGCGAGGAGGTCCTGATAAGATGAGGTGCCCTGTGACTATGCGCCCTCCACCCAAGCACAGCACAGCTGTGACGGTACTGGGGGCCAACGGAGTATCGAACCTCCATTGGTAGGTGGAAGCCCCATCCCAATGCAAGCAAAGAGGTCATGCACCATTCCCCTTCTATCCTGGGAAGAAAAGAAGATGTCTAGAGCTGGGCATACAGTAAATTCAGTTCTATTCATGATATCAAGTATGTCCAGACCAATCTAAAAATATTTAGATTCCTTGGGATTTTTCTATGTAGGCAATCATGTCACCTATGAAGACGGTTAGTTCTATTTCTTCCTTTCCCGTCTGTATTCTTTTTATTTCCTTTTCTTCTTACTGCACTGGCTAGGACTTTCAGGAGTGGTTTCTTGATCTTAGGGGGAGAGCAGTCTTTTACCGTTAAGTATGATGTTTGCTGTAGGTTTTTTGTAGATGCCCTATATCAGATTGAAAAAGTCCCCTTCTAAGTTTGCTGAAAACTTTTATCATGAGTAGATGTTGAATTGTATCAAATGCTTTATCAATTGCCATGACCATGTAGTTTTTCTTCTGTAGGCAGTTAATAGGGTAGATTACACTGATTGATTTTTGAATGTTGAACCAGCCTTCCATTCCCAGAATAAAGCCTACGTGCGCACCAAGTTTGGGAAGTTTTAAGCCATTATTTTTTCAAACATTTCTTCTGTACCGCACTCCTTCTCTCCTTCTGGGACTCCAATGACACAGATGGTAAACCTTCCAGTATTGTCCCATAAGTCACTGAGACTTCGTTCAGCTTCTTTAATCTTTTCTCTTCGTTGTTCAGATTGGATAGTTTCTATTGCTTTATTTTCGAGTTTACTGATTCTTTCCTCTGTCATCTCCATTTTGTGATTCAGCCCATGCAGCAGAGTTTTTTAATTTTCCATTATCGTATCTTTTTTCTTGTATCTCCATTTGGTTTATATATACATATATGGTTCACGGGGTTATTTTTTTGGCTAACACATTCTATCTTTCCATTCATGTCAACAATGTTTACCCTTACTTTTGGGGGCATTTTTTTTGAACAGTTTACTTACTAGATTATCAGTTTGTTATGAAAGGATTCAACTCAGCAACAGCCAGATGGAAGAGGTGGGAAAAGGGGGCCAGGAGCTTTTTTATAAAAGCTACTTTAAAGTCGGTCAGATTATTACAACATCTGTGTCATCTCAGCATCAGCATCTATTTATTTATTTAATTTATTTATTGTTGGCTGTGTTGGGTCCTCATTGCCGCACACGGGCTTTCTCTAGTTATGGCGAGCAGGAGTTACTCTTCGTTGCGGTGCGCGGGCTTCTCATTGTGGTGGCTTCTCTCATTGCAAAGCACAGGCTCTAGGTGCATGGGCTTCAGTAGCTGTGGCACATGAGCTCAGTAGTTGTGGCTTGCGGGCTCTAGAGTGCAGGCTCAGTAGTTGTGGTGCACGGGCTTAGTTGTTCTATGGCATGTGGGATCTTCCCGGACCAGGGCTCGAACCCATGTCCCCTGCACTAGCAGGCGGATTCTTAACCACTGCACCACCAAGGAAGCCCTGACATCGGCATCCTCTGATCGTCTCTCCCAGGCAAGTTGCGATTTTCCAAGTTCTTCATGTGATAATTAATTTTAGATTGTATCCTCTATATTTTGAATATTATGTCATGAAACTTTAGGTCTTATTTAAATTCAGTGGAGAATGTTGATATTTTTGTTTTACCAGACAATCAGGCAGGTTGGATTTAGTTGGCAAGTTCTGACCAGCCTTCTTTTGAGTTGTGGTTTCAATGCCAGTTCCATTTTCAAAGCCTGTTCAGGTGTGTACCACCAAGTGTCCAGTCTGGGACTCAGGTGGTGGTCTATCCCTTAGTTGTTCTCAAAGTCTTTGGTGTGTTGGTTAGAATCAGATGCACACATGCACAGCTCAGGGCTAGCCCAGAAGTTCATACACAACTTTATGGAGTCATTTTCCTGAGCTCCTTCCTTTCTGCTCTCCTTGTACTTTCCAGTTCATTGGTCCTCCTCCCTTTTGGTTCTCTGGCCAGAAATCTGGGGTTTTAGTTACACTTTCTGCCACACATTTCCTGAACTGTACCCAAATCTGGGACCAAGCAGCAGGAAGGCAGAGAGAGAAAAAAGCAACTGGATTTCACCCCACCCCCTTGGGATTACAGAGAGGAAGATTTGATCAAAGAAGGTTTCCCTTCCTCAGTTTTAGGTGCTTGAAGGCCCCACTGCTGCTACTGGGCACTGCCACCACCACCACCGAGGGGACTGCCTGGGGACTAGGGCATGAGAAAACAGAGAAAAACAACCCTCGGGATTTCCCATCCCTGTCTGAGCCTTAGAGCCCCTTTCCCAATCAGACTCTAGCCATAACTAGAGGTCTTCTGGAATTCTCTCCATTTGTGCCCTTATGTCCACTCTGTTTGTGCCCGGATTTTGGGCTGTCTCGAGTCCAGGACATGGGATACCAGAGGAAAAATGAGAAATTCACTGTCAGGGTGGCAGCACTTCTAATTCTAGTTTTTCCCCCAATCTGTCTACTACTATTTATATTTCAGAGTCTTCAAATAGCTGCTAAATGCATTCTGTCCAGGCCTTTAGCTGCATTCAATGACAGTGATAGATTCTTACACATGTATCTTATACATATATCCTGGTATATATATAAGTATCTATTTATGCAGGGAATATACCTAGGGGAGGAAATGCCAGGTCATGGGTATGTATATATTCAAATTTAGCTAGACACTACCATAGTTTTTTTCCAAAGTGGTTGTAATCAACTTACCCACTGACCAGTAGAGACTCAAAGTTTCCACCATATCACTTCCTCACCAACCTTGGAGTTTCAAGCTTCTCAGGCTTTCCTATTTTGGTAGATGCGCAGTGGTATCTCACTGAAATGCTAATTTGCATTTCCCTAGGTAGTAATACAATCGAACACCTTTTCAGAGGGTTATTGGCCATTTGGATTCCTCTTTTGTGAAGTCCCTGTTGGGGCCTTTTGCCTTTTTCTATACTGGGTTATTTCTTTACTCACATTGATTTTTGTAGTCCTTTATTCTGGAAGCAAGCCCTTTGTTGGCTACTTGTGTTATAGATGTCTTTTTTCACTCCACCTTTTCACTCTCTTAATGGTACCTTTTCATTAGCAGAAGTTCTACTTTAATGTAATAAAGTTGATCAGTTTTTTCCTATGTGAATGGATGCAACTTTGCATCTACTTAAAAACTCTTTCTAAAGGCCCATTCTGTCTTAAAGCAACCTCTCCCATCTCAGCATTTCAATGTGGACACCTCAGGCATCAAAGTGTGAGACAGCAAGATGACAAGGCAGACAGTGCAGGCTCCAGGGGTGGACAGATATGAGTGGCCCTGGACAGGGTACTTCAAGTCTTTGAGAATTAAGTTTCTTTATAAGTAAAGATGTACTATCCACCTTGCAAGATGTGTGTAAAGCACTTAGCATAGTGCTGGCACACAGTAGGCCCTCAGCAAACAGTGGCAGCTGCGATCATATTCTCTGATCATCCTTCCCCTTGTCCACATTGCTACAGTGGCCTGGAACCTCATTGCTGTTTTGTGAAACATCAATCTGTTGCAGTTAAGGACAGCAAAATGGGTTAATTGCCCTCAACAGGCCAGCAAAGTCTCCCTGTTACTCACAGGCGGCACCTAAGGTACGAGGACCACCGTCTTCAGCTAAAACTTAAGACCTGGTACACAGAGATGCTCTCCTCACGAGGTGAAGTCATTCTGGGGCTCCCACAGGGACACAATGGCAGCAAGCTGAAGAACCCAAGTATCTGCTCTTTCTGTTCGCTGCCAATAGCACAGTGGTGTGGGGCAGGCAGACTGCCTCCGACAGGGGAAAGCTGAGCTCCACTGAGCCTGGGTGATTTGTGTCAAAGCAGCGGGTGTGCCGATTTGTGTGTCCTGCACTGTTGACACAGGGGAGAGCAGGAGTACGTCAGCACATGTGCACAGTACAGTGCCCGTCCTGGAGGAGGTGTGTATTTGAGTATACGGGGTGTGCATGTGAACATGCAACAGGGTGTACGTCCCTAGGAAGCTGTGATACTCTCACCAGCCTGGCATGCTGCTGGAGAGCCCTGATGGTTAGCTACTCCAGCGTGCCCAGAGCTTGGGGTCTCTCAACGCCCTCTGCCCCGCTCTCTGAGACAGGATATGTGCACAGGAAACAGACACCTTTTCTGTGACGCTGGACCACCCTGAATAAGGAAGGAGCTGCAAACTCCTTGGTGCACAGTTCTAAAGCAGCTGGAGAAGTCTTCTGGACGTTGTAGCCCACTGCTGCCTCCTAGACTGTGGGTCCCTAGAAATGCTTCTTGAGATTTTCCCACAATACTGAGATATTCCACTGCCCTCCCCAGACGCCCCCTCCCCCACCTCATTAGGCTCCACTTCAAAGGTGGCCAGCGCTGAATGCTGAAAGGATGATAGAAGGGAAGGGAGTGGTACCTGAGCCTAGTGTTTGTCCAGCGGAGTCAAAGGAAAGAACCACTGAATCTGCAACACAAGAGGACAAGTTCATTTCTTTCTCTTTCTTACAGTAAAAATAAAACAAAACAAAAACAGGAAAACAAGTTCCCACTGGCTTTGCCCAAACCCTCTCCCAAGGAAAAGTCAACTGGACTGGAACTCAGCTGCACAGACAGCCTCCATTGGTCCGTCTCACCCATCCACTGGGCCAGGAGGCCCTGCCGAGCCCAGCCCAAGCCTCGTGCCACTGGGAGGAACATCTCAGGGCAGAGATATGCCCCAAATTCTTCAGAGGCATTTCCTGCCAAAGTAAGGGACAGATTTACTTCTTCTTTGCTTCTCATAGTGAAAATAAAATTAAAACAAAGCAAAAGAAAACTTCCCTCCTGCATCTGGTTGAAGGCACTAACATTTCCCTTTGACTTGTTTTCCTTTCCTATTCATATGCTCAATGTTTATTATTTCTTCCCCCCAAAGGCAAAAAGTGACTTACAGGAATTTACAGTACACACTGGAATTTTAAAAATGAAGAAGTCAAAGGAAGGAAAAATATTATATAGTCAGGGGAATGTTAGTGCACAAAATGCATGCCATGAGGACCTAAACAAACGCTACAGGTAGAATCTAAGAGGCCTGAGCTCCCAAACAGCTAAAGAAAATGAGAAAATAAACAAGATTGAGTGCTCACAATACATACATTCATTCATTTATTCAACTGTTCAGTAAATATTTATTGGGCATCTACTATGTGCAAGATACTATACTACGTCTTTGCGATCCAGATGAAAACAAAAAAAGCATGGTCTCTACGCTCACGGATCTGTCATCAGTCTAAGAGAAAAAAAGTTACCCAACAAGTTATTCAACTAAAAACTGATTAAGTAAAAAAAGAAAAGAGGGCTTCCCTGGTGGCGCAGTGGTTGAGAGTCCGCCTGCCGATGTAGGGGACGCGGGTTCGTGCCCCGGTCCGGGAAGATCCCACATGCCGTGAAGCGGCTGGGCCCGTGAGCCATGGCTGCTGAGCCTGCGCGTCCGGAGCCTGTGCTCCGCAACGGGAGAGGCCACAGCAGTGAGAGGCCCGCGTACAGCAAAAAAAAAAAAAAAAAAAAAAAAAAAGCAATTATAAGGGACACCAAGATAATCTAAGGCCCAAAAGAACTCCAGAGACCCCAGACTCCAAAGGGATCACATTCAAAAGGCTCACTCATGGGACTTCCCTGGTGGTCCAGTGGTAAAGAATCCGCCTTCCAATGCAGGGGATGTGGGTTCGATCCCTGGTTGGGGAACTAAGATCCCACGTGCCGTGGGGCAACTAAGCCCGCACGCCACAACTACCGAGCCCACATGCTCTGGAGCCCGTGCGCCACAGCTAGAAAGAGAAAACTCGCATGCCACAACTAGAGAGAAGCCAGCGCGGTGCAACGAAGAGCCCATGCACTACAACTAAAGATCCCGCGTGCCGCAACGAAGATCCCACGTGCCGCAACTAAGACCCGATGCAGCCAAAAATAAATAAGTAAAAATAAATAAAACCCATGTTCCCTTTAAAAAAAAAAGAAAAAAAAAGGCTCACTCACTACAAAGGAATGCTAGCTGGCTGCATGAGGCCCAGCGTCTACACCACAGGCAGCATCCCACCTCAGCATGATCCTTCAGATCTCAGGTGTATGTCATTTTTTCTTATTGCACATGGAAATCTGACACAAGAGTTATCATAACTGTAAGTCATCTGTCTGCACTGCTAGACTATAAGCTCTATAAAGGCAGACACTATATTTGCTTTATTCACTGCTATGTTACCAGCATAACACCTGGCAGGCAATAACTGTTTGCTGAAAGACAATGCCTCAAGAAATGGATGGACTTCAACTCCTTCAGGTAATCCTTCATAATCACTTTTTCTTATAATCAAGTGTTTATTAAGAACTGGGTAGCAGAGAGCTGCAGGATACAATTTTTTTTTTTTTTTTTTTTTTTTTTTT